TATATATATGTATATATATATATATAAACTGTAGAATTTCACTATATTGAATTTATTACATATGTTAATTTGCTATATCAGTTCTTAAATATTCCACTTAGTTTATTTGGTATCTCATGTTTATTCAATCAAATAATACTTTTATTTGACCAAATTTAGGACAGAATAATGTAAAATGAAGAACAGAATGGAAATTTAGAATAGAAAATGGAATGAAATTGTAAATTAGTTGTACAAAATAATTAGAATTAATGTTTCGGGAATTGAAAATTAAAATTAAAATTAATCTAATTTTATTTCCCTTAGCGATAATTAAATTTCCTAGTATTTAACATTCATATTAAACTATTATGGAAATTTCACAGTCTAAATAATTCATATACATATAGCATATTGGAACAAGCAAAATCAACCAATTCTAAAATTCCGGATTTACCGCTTGATGCGGGCGAAGCTACGCTTGCTAACCTGGATAAGATGCGCTTTGCAAAAGGTGACATTTATACTGGTGCTTTACGATTAAAAATGCAAAAAACAATGCAAAAACATGCGGCTGTCTTTCGACGTGGCGATATTTTACAGGTTAATTTGCTAAACAAATTATGGTACTTGTTTGAATTCGAACAAATTATGGTACTTGTTTGAATTTAAACAAATTATGGTACTTGTTTGAATTTAAACAAATTACGGTGCTTGTTTGAATTTAAACAAATTATGGTACTTGTTTGAATTTAAACAAATTATGGTACTTGTTTGAACTTAAGCTATAAGGCGAACTTTTAAAGCTAATTTAAGGAACGTAAAGTGGACAACAATTATGGGCCTTTTAAACAAAACAAAAAAAAAGAAATTAAGCATGCAAAACAACCTCCCATATCATACTATAATCACTGTTATAATTGCTAGTTTCATCTTAGTGATCGGAATCGTATCATATTGAAGTACTAAAAGAGTATTAAAATAAATTAATTTTACTTAATTAAACAAATAATACTAAACCACTAATTAATATGAAAGGGATTTAATGATGAAATAATGTTAACCATTATTCATTCTGATTAATACAAAGAATACTTAAGTGATATTTGTTGTTAACTTAATGATGGGACGATGTTAACCTTTATTAATTTTTTAATTAATAATTTTTTAATTAATATAAAGTGGTCTTAATAGAAAAGATGTTAACCGTTATTAATTCTAATTAATATGAAATGAACTTAATGATGGAAAGATATTAACTATTATTAATCCATAGGTGATGCATTTGTTTTTTTAGCACTTATTAATAAGATATTAAAACTGTAATCTAATTTACTTACTTTTCTTCTAAATTTTAATTTTTGCTTTTTTTTCCTCCCTCTTTTATTTTTATCTTTTTTTTCAATCTTTCCTCTTTATATTTTTAGTTCTAAATCATTTTCCTAATTAATTTCCTGTCATTTTTATCATCAAATAATGAATTTTTCAAATAACTAAGCCCAATTATGCGAATAAAATGTTTGATTAAGTAAATGAATAAATAAATTAACAATGCTAATTAAGGTTTATTTTATTAGTGTAATATCAAATTTTAGGAAGGTATCAAACAAATGGAAATTATCTATGGTGAACAAAAACATCTGAAAACTGCTGATCGTGGATTAATTTGGAATTCGGATCTAATTGAAACATTAGAGTTGCAAAATTTATTACTTTGTGCTATGCAAACGATCGTTGCAGCAGAAGCTCGGGAAGAATCTAGAGGAGCTCATGCTCGGGATGATTTTAAGGTAATATTTAGTGCTTACAGTAGTAGTAAAGTAAGGTAACTCGTTACTCATTACGGTAATTCATATTCGGAAGTAATTTTAAGGTATGATTTGAAGGTAACTTGATGCTTACAGTAATAGCAAGGTAATTTGTTACTCATTACGGCAATTCATATTCGGAAGTATATTTGGAACTCATATAATTTTAAGGTGTAATTTTAGGACAACTTAGTGCTTGCAGTATGCTACTGCAGTATGCAGTATGTAACGTAACTTGTTACTCATTACGGTAACTTCTACTCGAGAATAATTTTAAGGCATGATTTGAAGGCAACTTAATGCTTGCAGTAGTAGCAAGGTAACTTGTTACTTATCATGGTAACTCATAATTGAGAATAATTTTTTAAGGATGATTTTATGGTAACTTAATGCTTGCAGTAGTTTCAATATAACAGCAAGGTAACTTGTTACTTGTTAAAATAACTCGTACCTAAGAATAATTAAGAATATTTGCAATATTTTCTTTTCTTTTTTCCTTTTAATTACTTACATTAATATTAATAATAATAAATTCGGTTACAGCAACGAGTCGATGAATTTGATTATTCCATGCCATTAGCAGGACAAATAAAAAACCACTTGAACAACATTGGCGTAAACATACAATCATTAATCAAAATCCGGAAACCGGAAAAGTTTGTTCTTTTATTTATAATACTTTCTATCCTCAATTCTTTCTTTTTCCCTCATTCTGAGTTTATTTCATTTTTTATTATAATAACAAGATGAAATATATGTTCAATTCAATTGTTCAACTAACAAAAGTCTAGTTGTACCGTATTTTTAAATGATAATAATTAAATAAATTCCAGAAAATAAATGATAATTTCCGGAAAATACAACAGTTATATTACCATTGAGATAAATTTCCCAGTAACTGGATAATAACAAAAACCTATTGTAAAAAAAAAAAAATCTTTTTTTATTCTTTCCATCTGTCTATCCACTTTTTGCCTTTCATAAGCATTGAGCATTAGTGAAATTTTTGTGTAATGTTACAATTTTCAGTAATGAAATTTGTTAAATTTTAAAAATTAACATCCATTATAGGTTTCATTGAGTTATCGACCAGTAATCGATCAAACATTGGATGAGAATGAAGTGGAAACTATACCGCCAATAATTCGAAAATACTAAAGAAAAAATAAACAAATAAATTCAAAATTAAAAATGTTAAATTTGTAATGAATTAACGATGAATAAAAATGTGGAAATTGAACATGTATTTGATCATTTCCACTAAATTGTTTGTTTGTTTTGTTTTTGTTTTTGTTTTTTTTTTTTTTTTTTGTCCGTAACGTGAAATGTTTACGTAACATTTACTGAACTTGTGTTTAGTCAGTTCCATTAAATCGTTTGTTAGTTTATTTTTGTTTTTTTTTTTTTGATTTTGTTTTGAATTCATATGCATTTCCATGTTATTCTTAGAATAATAAATTTCAAATAAGCATAAATAAATAAATTTCACGTAATATTTTATTGCCTTTACGTGATATTCAATTTTCTTTACGTGATACTCGATTCTCTTTACATGATATTTGATTCCGTTTACGTGATATTCGATTCCCGCTATGATGTTGTTTATCATTGTTTAACGGACATCACTAAAATACGATAAATACAAATGATATTATTGATTGATCAGTTCATTTTCATAATTATAATAACGATTAGTCTACTGTATTCATCAACAGTATTTCTCTCATATGATCATACCATTTCTTCATACCATTTTTTACATACTATTTTTCTTCATACCATATCATACCATTTTTTTTTAGGAATTTAATTCAACCATACTTTCTTTCAAAATTATTGGAAGGATAAACTACACTACAAGATGATGGATGCATTACATATCGTTTACCGCTGGCATTTATTATTTCTACCATTTCCAACTCGTTACGTGATACGGTACCTATCGTACGTGAATTATATGGTAACTCATTTTTAACAGTATTTCATGTTTTTATTGCAAATGATGTGTAAAGTGCAAATGCACCAATGTATTAATGTCTAATTCCTATTAGCGCCTATCGTTTCTACCATTTGCGCCTTCTCTTTTCTTACTTTTCTGAATGTGTCTACAAGTGTATCTATGCATTAAAGTATGTCTCTGTGTATGTATGTATGTGTGTATGTGTGTATGTATGTATGTGTGTGTCTGTGTCCGTGTCTGTCTGTGTCTGTGTATGTAGAAGTGCTATATACATATAAATCAACAGCGCACAATCCAACCGAACATCGTGTCTCTCATCTGCGCTCGACATTTTCTTTATTGAATAATATCGAATAATTCCGCTTGGGGATATTTCTTCGCTTTCCTTTTCTATATTTCATTGAAGAATTGTTTAACATTGTATCACGTTAATATTACATTAGTCGCGTATTACGTTGACGTTAATATTACGTTAATCACGTATTATTTACATACGTGATGTTAGTTTTATCTTTTATATACGATATATTGTTAGCTAGTTAAATATAATTAATAGATATTAATGCTATTTTTGTTATTTATGTTTGTAATGCTACACGTATTATTATCATAAATATGTTATGCGATCTTTTTTTTTTCCTATCATTGAAATTGTATAGCTGGAATGAATATTTCCGGAATATATTCCGGCCATATATTCGAAATGATTGGCTATTCTAAGCCATTTTTCTTCTATCCTCTCTTTCCTCTTTTCAAACAATCATTCGAATGAGAAATATTTGAGGTTAAGATAAACAGAATAGGTAATTCATTGCTATTCGTAGCATGTACGTCGTAATTCATTGACACAACATGGGTACCAAATTAAAGTGAGTCACTTCTTGATTCAATTTCTTGGCTAATTCTTGTATCTTCTGGATTAAATTAAATAGAATACTATCAGTAATTAATAATAAAAGTAATCATCACTGTAAATAACCGTAATAGGATGATAATCTGAAAGTGTTAATGGAAATAGTTGGCTTACTTTTCCTATTCTCTAAATACATTTCAAACAATAATATCATTCGTCTATTACTCATTCATTTTTCCGTGAAAAATTAGTGATTTGTTTGCTTTAATGAATTTATCATTGAAAATCATAAGTAGTTATAAGTAAGAGATAATTAACCATTTTTTTTTTCTTGCTTTTCCACAAAGCTTAAATCATTACCGATGCAGTAGGTTAGCATGATCGATATGATAGTCAGTTTTGGAATTAAAATGGATTTACTGGGATAATTTTAGAAAAAATGATTTATACTGGAATGATTGTAAAAGAAATTGACTGATATTTCATTACAGGGATGTTAAGTGTAGCTCGTTGTTTGGTGACAAAAACATGTCACCAAAGAGCATTTTCATTATCGGCGTTACGTAATGAAACGAAAATGTCTAGTGTTGCGGAATATCATATTGTTGATCATGCGTATGATGCTGTTGTCGTTGGAGCTGGTTGGTTATCTTTTTCTTTCCATATATTTATCGTCATACTTTAATAAATAAGATATACTTCATCAAGAATAACTGGAAATTTTAACAACCAAGATCCAAAGATTATCTGTATTTTTCATTTGATAGTAATGAAAACTTCAATGTAGAAATAAGATCTAAACAACTGATAAAGTGCAGAGGTCATATTACTTTAAGGCGGTTTTTTTTTGTTCATTTGCTAGTTTGCTCAAAATTTACAGGTGGAGCTGGTTTACGAGCTGCTATGGGTCTTTGCGAAGGTGGTCAAAAAGTTGCGGTAGTTACAAAATTATTTCCAACACGATCTCATACGGTTGCTGCTCAAGGAGGTGTTAATGCAGCTTTAGGTAACATGAATCCGGATGATTGGCGATGGCATTTCTACGATACTGTTAAAGGTATTATCGTTATAGTGAAACAAAGTTATCAGCTAAAGCTGCAATAAGCATGATATAATTTTAGCATTAGTATAAGGTACATATTACTACTTAAGATAATTGCAGGAAGTGATTGGTTAGGAGATCAGAATGCTATACATTATATGACTCGTGAAGCAGTTCGTGCTGTTATTGAATTGGAAAATTATGGCATGCCTTTTTCACGAACAGAAGAGGGTAAGATATATCAGCGTTCATTTGGTGGGCAAAGCAACAATTTTGGTAAAGGTGGCATGGCTCGTCGGTATGTTTTGTTTTCTATTTCAATATTTTTAACGTCCTTTGAATAAAACACATTTTCATATATTATGCCGTTTTTTTTTTCTTTTTCAAATTATAATTGAAGGACGTGTTGCGTAGCAGACCGTACAGGACACTCAATGCTGCATACGCTGTATGGTTCATCACTTCAATATAATTGTCAATATTTCATCGAATATTTCGCACTTGATCTTATGATGGATAAAGGAAGATGTGTTGGCATTATCGCTATGAACCTTGAAGATGGAAGCATGCATCGTTTCCGGTATATTCCGGTTTTTATGCGCAACAATACGATCAGTGTATGTTTGAATGGTAGTTCGTGTTGTTGGACGGAATAATCTATGTGACTTATGTGATTAAAAGTCAT